CTGTTCCAAATGGTCCTTCAGGCCATGCAATTTGGGTAAAGCAGATGCACGGACAATCTCCGCCCACGCCTTCTCAGACAGCCATTGGGGAGCTGCTGTCTCTTATACACATCTAGATGTGTATAAGAGACAGGAGCCAAGATCATGCCACTGCACTACAGCCTGGGCGACAGAGCAAGACTCTGTCTCAAAATAAATAAATAAATAAAATAAAATAATAACAAATAAAACAATAATAATCATCATTGTGCACTGGCTAGTGAAATAATGGATCTCGGTAATGATTGTCATAGGCCACTAAAACTATTAAAGGCAGTGATTCCCAGCACTGGTTGCACATTGGAATGACTGGAAAGGCTTCATAAAATACAATTCATAAAACATCCCAAAGGTTTTAATTTAATTGGCCAAGGCTGTGGCCTATGCATTGAGATGCTTCTTTAAACTCCCCAGGTGATTCCAATGTGCAGCCAAGATTGAGAACCGTCACATTAGGTGAAAATCTGGTGGGAAACTTTATAAGGAGGGAACGGGGGAACGGACAACCAGCTCACGCTGACAATGCCTGAGTCCCCAGACCTGTCTTTATCAGAAAAGACAGCCAGACAGTATGGATCTCGTGATGTGCGACACTAGAAGGAACACAGTGTGAAGTTTCCTGTGGAATCATCCGAGCTGAATCTCACCAAGCTTCTATTTTGTTCTTTTTTTCTTTGGGAGGGGGCAGGGTCTGTCCCCTAGACTGGAGTGGTGTGATCATAGCTCATTGCGGCCTTGATCTCCCCAGGCTGAAGGGATCCTCCTACCTCAGCCTCCCAAGTAGCTGGAACTACAGGCATGTGCCACCGTTTCCAGCTAATCTTTTAATGTTTTATAGCAATGGAGGTCTCACTGTGTTGCCCAGGCTGGTCTCAAACTCCTGGGCTCAAGCAATCCTCCCAACTCATTCTCTCAAAGTGCTGGGATTACAGGCGTAAGCCACCTCTCCTGAACCCTCACAAGGTTTTTAAGGAAAAAACTTTGACTGAATTATCAAGATACAAGTGGGAAATTTCTGCATTTCTGGTTTCTCTTGAAAAATCAGATGATCTAGCAATTCTGGGCTTACATTCCCAAATGGCCCAATTTGTGGGTGCCGAGTAGCAGCTGAGCTCTTTAGGTGGAAAAATAAGAGTTTCGTGGCTCCACCTCAGTGTATGAACCACTTGGCCTTCAGAGTCATCTGAACTTGAGATCCCTGCTGTAAGGGACGGGCTACTGATATCCACCCACACATTCTGGGCTTTCCGCCTCTCTTCCACAACACTCTGTTCTTACCTGCCATTGGGTCTGCACTTGGAGACAACACAAAAATCAAAGGCGCACAGCAGCTGGAATCATTGTAGGATCCCTGGAGATCGAAGGTAGGGGCTTCGATGTACAGCTTTCCCATGTGTTCAGCAATGAACTCCCGGATCGCTGGCACTATTTTGTCAGGCCGCAAACATCGGAGGATCACCATCTTCTCCAGTCCTTGACAGAACTTCCAAGATCTAGGGAGTTGCTCCTCGTGGGGCCAGGCTGAGTCATAGATCAGCTTCCATTCATCCAGGTTCTGTTCCAAATGGTCCTTCAGGCCATGCAATTTGG